ATACATCACTTAAAATGTACTCAAGTAAAAGTAAAAGTACACAATTTTTAAACTACTCAGAAAAGTACAATTACTGATAAAAACTACTTAATTACTGTAACGTGAGTATTTGTAATTCGTTACTTCACACCCCTGCATACAGGGAATACATCCAACAATGGAAATGTTTATATAACAGTAGTTCCTTGTGCAGTGGATGCCCTAAAACAAATAAATGTGGATAGTTAAAGGAATAGTTTGCCCAAAAATTTAAATTTACTCACCCTCAGGTAATCAAAAATGTAGATGAGTTTGTTTCTTGATCAGAACAGATTTGGGGAAATTTAGCATTACATCACTTGCTCACCAATGGATCCTCTGCAGTGAATGGGTGCCGTCAGAATGAGAGCTGAAAAAAACATCACAATAATCCACAAGTAATCCACACAACTCCAGTCCATCAATTATTGTTTTGTGAATGTAAAGCTTGTAAGAAATAAATCAATCATTAAGGCATTTTACCTTTTTCGCTTTCATTTTTGGTGAAACTATGAGTCAAATATAAGTTTGAAATGTGTTGATGGATTTGTTTCTTACCAACGTACAGCTTTTTGCTTCACAAGACATTAACTGATGGACTGGAGTCATGTGGATTAATGTGATGTTTTTATCAGCTCTCATTCTGACGGCACCCATTCACTGCAGAGGATCTATTGGTGAGCAAGTGATGTAAGGCTAAATTTCTCCAAATCTGTTCCTATGAAAAAACAAACTCATCCACATCTTGGATGGCATTTTCAGCAAGTTTTGTGTGAACCTTATTTTCTCTGCTCTTGTATTTTCACAGGCTGCTATGTGTAATGTTCATGTTGCTGCATTGGTGGCAGAGTATTTGCACAGGAAAAGTAAGTTTGCAAAGGTTTCTTTACTTTCAACAAAGGTTTCGTGCTCATTTATTTGGCTAAAATATTTCTTCCTTAGATGATGTGTCCTAATGATCATCCATAACTGTATTTTACACAAAAACAATAAATACCTGTGGCTCATGTAATTTCCCTCATTTTCCCCATGCAAATAATGGACTTGTTCAGGACAAACACTTTACTATCCTAGTCCTAATTTGTGGTGCACAATGCAAATGGCAATGCAAAGTCTCAGACATTGTGTCTGAAGTATTGTGGATAGCATTTTAAACCTGTTTCTTTCTCTTCCATTTTTATTTTAAATAAAGCATTCATTAACACAAAATGTCCATTTTACAAAAACTTTTTTTCCCCCCCAAATTAAATTGCATACAGATTTTGTTAACTGCTAGCAGTTTAGAGGTTTGCCACCCTGAACTTCTATTATGTGAAACTAAAAGAATGTCACAGGTCCCACAAATTTACATAACTGGAAACCAGAGATAAAAATGGCATTGTTTAAAGGACTGCTGTATATTTCTCAGAAGTCATGTGTTGGTAACAGTGATGCAGTTATTTTATAATCCTAATCATCAGGTTTTCATGAGCAATCTTTAATAATGCAATAGCTTATGAACTGTGGTCCCAAACTGTATTTATACACACACAAGAAAAAAGCACAGTAAGTTAATGTCAGACCTTCTTTGACGCCTTTATTTTAATGAAGCATGGCACAAGCACACTTTTTCAAGCAAAACAATTTACAATTTTATTAGATTTAAACGATAAACTGCCTGTAGTTGTACTGTCTTGTACTTTTGATTAATACCGTATGTGTTGAATACAGTATTTTGCTAGTTTTAATATAGTGGCGTATATTCTGCTGTCTCATTGTTTCAGAGCTGTTCCCAAGTGGACTGGCAGCTTTTAAGAAAATCACCCAGAACATCGATGAAGAAGGAGCTATGAAAGAAGACATGGGGATGCAAGATGTGTACTACACTGAGGTAAACAACGCCGACAGACCGAACCCATAAAAGACCGTACCAGGAATATGTTTGACGAACAAGTCAAAAGATGCTTTTGTGAAAGTTCAGTTGTACTTGTGTGACAGGATGTCCTTGTAGAGCAGTTGGAGGTGTGTGTGGAGGGTCTGTGGAAAGCCGAGAGGTTTGAGCTCATAACACACATTGCGAGACTCATCATTCCAGTTTACGAGAAGCGGCACGAGTTTGAGGTGAGAAACAATGCAATGCAGATTCAAGAAATGTGCTCATTTTCCTTTGGCAAGTGCTAGTTGCCCAATTCTTTTCTTACACAATGCTGTGACTATAAGACTTTGTGGCACCTCCTTACTCAATAACCAGACTCTTAGAAAGCATAAGCACACTCTGATCAGGCGTAAAAAGAATAAAGTAGCTCAGTCAGGCGGTGAGGGCATTATCAGTCATTATGAACACAACCTTGATCTGTTTCACTTTCACTTCTCAGTTAATGTGGAAAAATTAGGAGTATGATTTCTGAATGAGGTATGAAAAAATCCCCTACATATCTAGGGACCAGAAGATCATAGATACTTAAAAGTATTATTTTAGTACTATTTATGTACTTTTATAGTATTTATTAACATTTGAAAATTATATTGAAAATATATTTTTGGTAATTGTATGTACTTTTGTCATTTTTCTTTTAATGTTTATATTTCGCTTTAATTTATTTTTTATTGAGAAGCGGCACGAGTTTGAGGTGAGAAACAATGCAATGCAGATTCAAGAAATGTGCTCATTTTCCTTTGGCAAGTGCTAGTTGCCCAATTCTTTTCTTACACAATGCTGTGACTATAAGCACACTTTGTGGCACCTATCTTTTTTTTTGTTTGTTTTACCAGACTGAAGCTCCTTACTCAATAACCAAACTCTTAGAAAGCATAAGCACACTCTGATCAGGCGTAAAAGGAATAAAGTAGCTCAGTCAGGCAGTGAGGGCATTATCAGTCATTATGAACACAACCTTGATCTGTTTCACTTTCACTTCTCAGTTAATGTGGAAAAATTAGGAGTATGATTTCTGAATGAGGTATGAAAAAATCCCCTACATATCTAGGGACCAGAATAGATGTAAACCTCAGTGCATGACAATGCCATGCTAGCAGTTCAAACATCTCACACACTCCCTCACGTCTCTCTTTCTCCTGTAGAAACTGAGGCGATTGTATGACACACTGCAGCGAGCTTATGCAAAGATATTAGAGGTGATGCAGTCCGGCCGACGTCTGCTGGGGACTTACTTTAGAGTCGCCTTTTATGGGCAGGTGGGTTCAAACGATAACATACCACACGAATCTACATGCTCAGCTTTGACTTGCGTTTAGCTACCACTTCCCAAAATGACTTCTCTGTGTAAACCATTGATATGATGTATCTCTTGCATGACTGATATTGTACACACGAGACATCAGTGTCTAGACATTGCCAGGCTTTGAGATTCCTCTATTTGGGTTCATAAATTGATGGCTAAAATAAGTTTTGAAAATTAAGCATGTGACATATCAAGCACATGTCGTTCAAAAGATTGTGGTAGGTGACTTTTTTTATGTTTTTTGAAAGACGCCTGCATTTATTTGATAAAAAATACAGTAAAAACAGTCATATTGTGATTTTTTTTTAAAATGTTTTTTTCATTTAAAATAACTGTTTTCTATTGTAATATAATTTAAAATGTAATTTTTTTCCTGTGATGGCAAAGCTGAATTTTCAGCATAATTACTTCAGTCTTCAGTGTCACATGATCCTTCAGAAATCATTCTAATATGCTGATTTGCTGCTCAAGAAACATTCCTTATTATCAGTTTGAAAACAGTTTTTCTGCTTAATATTTTTGTGTAAACTGAGATGCATTTTTCAGGATTCTTTGATGAATAGAAATGTAAAATGTTATTTATTTTGTATTTTTATTTATTTATTTTTGGATCTCAGGGCTTCTTTGAAGAAGAGGATGGAAAAGAATACATCTACAAAGAGCCAAAGCTCACAAGTCTGCCTGAAATTTCCCATCGGCTCATAAGTCTCTACGGAGAAAAGTTTGGAGCTGAGAATGTCAAAATCATCCAAGACTCTAACAAAGTAAGAAATCACAATATTTCTGTTTAACTGTCCAGCTTCCTGTATTGTGCTGAAATTACCGTGAAGAGCAGCTCATCTGACTCCTCGTCCAGGAAAGACTTGTTTATGTAAAGCACAAACAAATGTCTAGCTTGCAGTCTTTGCATGTTTTTGAGTATTTAAATTCAAAACTACTAAGCATTATCTTTATTTTTTCTTTTTCTTTTACAAGTTTCATAGTGAACCATCTCACTTTCCTTAAATAACCGAAACTACACACAAACTTGCTTATCTTACCCACAGGTTAACCAGAAAGATCTAGATCCGAAGTTTGCCTATATTCAGGTCACATTTGTCAAGCCCTACTTTGATGAGAAAGAACTGGCAGAGAGGAAGACAGACTTCGAAAAGTGCCACAACATTCAGCGTTTTGTCTTCGAGACTCCATTCACACTAACGGGAAAGAAACAAGGAGGGGTTGAGGAACAGTGCAAGCGGCGAACGATACTTACCAGTAAGTATGCAGACAGCAGGAGATCTGGCATTGCTCCCAGTACATCATCTGAGATCTGAACCATTTTTGCAACTCGTACATCAACGCTGCATTGTGTACGCGTCCACTTCACCTTTTAGTGCTTCAAGGAATAGTTCACCCCAAAATGAAACTTTGCTGAAAACGTACTTCTCTTCAGGCTATCCAAGATGTAGATGAGTTTGTTTCTTCATCGGAACAGATTTGGAGAAATTTAGCATTCCATCACTTGCTCACCAGTGGATGCTCTGCAGTGAATGGGTGCCGCCAGAATGAGAGTCCAAACAGCTGATAAAAACATCGCAATAATCCACAAGTAACCCACACAACTCCAGCCCATCAATGAATGCACTGTGAACTGAAAAGCTGCATGTTTGTAGAAAACAAATCTATCATTAAGGTGTTTTTAACTTCAAACCAAAACAGGAGTCCATAATCCATAATAATACTAGTCCATTCTTCTCTCATATCCAAACCCTCCAACATTTCTGTCAGGACCACTATCGTCAAAGATGATTGACAATTAGCATACAGTTTGGATTGGCGGTATGGTTCTGTTCTGGGCAAGAACTCCCTGCGCCTCCATGCAGCCTAGCATGGATGAGAGCAGGGAGAGCAGCGATAACCCCCCCAGGGTAAACAGAACAGAACCAACATAAATGTATTGCAGATATCGTTAAAGTTCAATAATGTTATGTACACATTTTAGAATTAGTCTGATTCAAAGGAGAATCAGAAGGCTGAATCCTGACTGACAGAGGAGGAGTTGGGGATGGAGGAGGGTAATTAGCTATTGAGCAGCGCGAAAACTGCTGATACTACTGCGGGACCTTATATATGAATGCTTAGATAGGTGTCGTATTCCCATAGGTTGATGGGGATCAGCTGAGAGTCAGCTGATGCGAGTTTGACTAACGTGACCTGCCAGAACTAACGCTACGCTTGATATTTGTTTAGAACAGTTATAGACTGTTTTTGCTTGTAAACAGTGCTTGATCTGTGCTTATTTCTCTCCTGAGTCAGATGAGATTACTTTTCCAGTCGAGAAAGCAATATTATGGGTACAGGACTTTTGGCTACATTTTAGCCAGAAGCAACAGTTTAAACAAAAAAAAAAAGGTCTCAGTGATGGATTTGTTTCTTAAAAACAAGCAGCTTTTTGCTTCACAAGAAATGAATTGATGGACTGGAGTGGTGTGGATTACTTTTTTGTAATGTTTTTATCAGCTGTTTAAACTCTCATTCTGATTCTCTAACTGAACAACTAGTCATTAATGACGTTTAAACACATATCAGCCTTCTGAGCAGAAACAAAACGGTGCATCTCTGAGTGGTGGTTTAGTCAACATTTCAAAACTCGGAAACATCTCTATGGTTACCATTGTGTCAATCATCACAATTTCAGAAGTGACTTACGTTTCATACACACATGGAATGAGCATTTATGGTATTCACTCTCACATTTAAATGTGGTTGTCATTCCTGAAAACTTATAGTGTGTACGTGGCCCTTATTGTGTGAACAGTCAAATGCTTGTAAACATTTACATGCTAGTTGCAGCATTCATCATCATAACACAAAAAAATGTCATGTGTTCAATACTGTCACATTGGTTTAATAATTGATGAAACTAAGAAAAAGCGTTTTCCACGTACAATGGCAATGACATGTTCCCCATGGGCCAAAACGTGCCTATTCTACAAACTGGCACGCACTTGAGTGACAACTTTTGTGAGCGATCTCAAAATATCACTTAGATAAAGACTCTTTTCAGACGGCTTCTTCAAACAGTCAATATTGACGACAGCAGGTGTGTGGCTAGCTGTGAACTCGCTGGCTGTAATTGACAGTCAGTCACAGATGAAAAATTGGTTATGCCACTATCAGATCACGATCGCTATCTTTTGTTTTGGTGATGTTGTTTGTGTTCAGGATCAAAAGAATATTGTTTTGTTGACTGCGTGTGTGTGTGTGTGTGTGTTTGCATGTTGTTTGTGTCTACAGCTGCCAACACGTTTCCCTATGTAAAGAAGCGCATCAAGGTAGTGGGAGAAAAGCACTTGGAGCTGAAGCCGATTGATGTAGCAATAGATGAGATGAAAGAGAAGAGCGCTGAACTCGTTAAGCTCTGCTCTAATCAGGAGGTTAACATGATCACACTTCAACTCAAACTCCAAGGATGTGTTAGTGTGCAGGTACTAGTATGCATTACACACCCGGGACCTGTTAGCACACTGCTGTTCAAAACTGTGGGGTTTTTAAAGAAATGAATACTTTCATTCAAAAAGAAAGCATTGAACTGATTGATCAATAGTGACGGTAAAGAGATTTATATATTACAAAAGATTTCTATTTCAAATAAATGATCTTTTGAGCTTTTTACTCATCAAAGAATCCTGAAAAGATCTTTGTTTCCACAAAATATTAAACAACTGTTTACAACTTTGATAAAAATAAGAGGTGTGTTTTGAGCAGCAAATCGGCATATTAAATTATTTATCATGTGACAATGAAGACTGGAGTAATGATGCTGAAAATTCAGTTTTCATCACAGGAATAAATTATACTTTAAAATATATTAACATAGCAACAGTTATTGAAATTTGTAATATTATTTCGCACTATTACTGTTTTTACTGTATTTTTGATCAAATAACGCAATAAATGCATTAATATCATGAGATACAGAACAATCTTTAGTGACTCAAGCAAAGCATAATTTTAGGAATATCAAGAGTTTTGTGTGACATTATTTTCATGACAGTTAACCACATTTCTCTTTACTGTAATGCAAGAAATCTCATTCTCATAAATGTACTATGAAAAACTATTAATAATAATGATTTTATTATCTACAATATGTTTCTAAATAAGGGTAGTATTTGTTATACAGCCTCAAGTTTAATCTGGTTTAATATAATGTGGGGGAAAAGCTGATTTAATTGGGGGAAAAAAGCCCCATGGCATTACAATCTTTTGACAATCAAATTGTAAAAAAGTTCATTTTAAAAACTCAAAAGTAACAGTATTACAGTTTTAAAAAACCTGTAATGAAATGTTTATTTATATATTTATATTTTAATTTAAACAGAATGAGCTGTTTTTGCATTATGCCTCTACAATGAACAGGATATTTTGAAATGCTTTTTCTTCAGTCTTGACTCCAGTGATTTATAGACACACACATGTTGATTGACACAACGTCAATAAAGGCAATTACATGCAAGCCAAATTTTCCCTCATGCAAAACTAAATTCCTGTTAACCTGTAATGGGACAAAAAAAAACATTTTTTGTTGCATTTTTGTTTTAATATGACCACATTTTGAGTGTATCAAAATATTCTTGTGCATTGTAAACACAGTCGCTGAGCAGTCCTTTCATTGATAGTGATTTGCAGGCAATCACTCAGTGCATCTTATACTGTTTTTGGGCTTCTAGGTGAACGCAGGACCGATGGCCTATGCCCGAGCTTTTCTGGATGAATCCAAATCTGGTCAATCCAGTAAAAAAGTTAAGGAGCTCAAGGAAATATTCAGGTATGTGGTGTTCAGGTATGCTGGTACTACTTCCGCAGTTTGTTGAACTTAGAAAGGGAACAGATACCTATGTGGCTACATAACCAGAAAAGGCATGGTTTGGTAAAACAACAGTTATAAGGAACCTTGCCACACACATAGACACATGGTTTCTGAAGTAGGATACATATGTGAACAATCAATACAAGTAATATCTGTAATTCTCTTACCAGTGAGCTTAATATTATTTTGGTTTGTTTTCTGTGAGATTTTCTACTTTTGCCTATTATAAAACACTATTGGCTCATCTGGTAAAGTCTTTAAGCTTTCCTCTTGAGAATTCAAGAGAATAGTAATTCTACTAAAAATAGCTGAAGGGAGCCATGTTCAGGAAGCAACCAACTGCAGTCCCTGTTTATTCAACAGCATGTATCAACTTGCCATGCTGCAGGAATGTATTGGTTATCATACCAAGGCATCTTATTCTTGTAAATGGTATTTGCGTTTATAGCACTCGCAATGACATTTATATGACAGTTTTACTTTTTTTGTTTTTTAAATAAATACATGTGCATTTTCCACCTTATAAAATTGTCAACCTAAATCAAACAAATCTTTTGCATTTAACTACTAGCTACACATAACATGTTAGCATGTTAAAACTAATTATATGAACACACACTGTAACAATATATATGTTGCTGCTTTTTTATTGTTTTTATTATTACATTGTTTCTGTAATGCTCAATTGTTTGGTTATATGTGTTGCAGGCAATTTGTCAATGCATGCAGCATGGCTCTGGACATTAACGAGAGACTCATTAAGGAGGATCAGTATGAGTATCACGAGGGACTAAAGGCTAACTTCAAAAGCATGGTGATAGAACTTTCGGATATCATCCACGAGCAGGTATGTTTGATTGGTCATTTATAGTTCTTAGTTCTTGTTCTTCTTTCTACTTCTATACAACAAATTTCTGCAATTAATTCAGCCCCAGGGTTATTATAGTGAACTAAATCTAAAAGCATAAAATAATATTTGTTACTTAACTCGAACTGAAATATATTTTTCAGCAACATTTGGATAGTATTAGTTCTCGTTATTCTTGATGTTCTAAATGAACTAAAACCAAAATAAAAATGAACGAAGAGTATGTAGTTAAAAAAAAAAAGCCAAAAACACTAAAAACAAAAATATTAAAACTTTAACTAAAATGAAATAAAAAATGATTCAAAATAGCAATAAAAAAGTACCTACCTAATACTACTACAATAACCCTGAAATAACTAAATAAAGCTAAACTAACTAAAATAACCCTGTTCAGCCCAAACTGCTTAACATACAGACTCCATTCAACTGCTTTCTAGATAATTTGGTGGATTATCTGTTTTTCGTGTTTGTTGAAACTTTAGATCAACTTTCCGATTTAAAAGCCTTCATTGATTGGTGCCATCTAACTGGCAGTGGCAACATCTATGTAATATTAGCCGCTTTTCATTTGATTTTCAGACTGATGTGCACGCCATTGTTGCATATCTGATGACCTCTATGCCACTTCTCATGAAAATGTTGACCCATCATGATTTTGTTCCTCATTTTTTGTTTCGGTGTCATCAGTAAACCCCAGAAATGTATTGCCACACTAAGTTAAGAAGTTATTTGACAAAAGACTAAAACCTCTTGTCCACGCAGACTCCAGGAAGTGGGCTAACTGGCCATTTCCCTCAGTAAACAAACCAAAAACCACATTTTCTGTGCATGTCCACTGGTTTAGAAAATATTATTTAAACCCTTCATGGTTTTGAGCTTGAAGGCAGTGATTGGCAGACAGGTTTGTTAGGCTGGCACAGTGAAAGGGGAACAGGTTTGTTCTGGTTTGTCTTGCACACTCAGTTGTCCCGGAGAGATTGTGTCCTGAGATGACACACTTGACTGAAGAGTTTGAGAGTGACAGATTTAAAATACTTTAAACAAATAACTGTTTTTCTGTATTTTACCCTTGCGATTTGACACTCGTCTTCTAGACTGGTAAAAATGGAAATGCAGATTTCCACGGTTTCAAAATGAATGTGTTAATTAATTTACTGTGAACAACTGACATCTTCAGCAAAGACCTTTGTTATTATGACTATTTAATGATTTACTCATCTGCCACAGTGATATTTTAAAATGACCTTCATTTGGGACCTTGCAATATATCATTTTATAGAATTGATTTAAAATGTAACTTATTTAATAAAATGTAACTCCAACATCAATGCACTTTGCTGGTTTTCTTTAGAAGCACAAAGCCCCAGATCTGTGCTTTCCAAAACCTGACTAAGGACCGGTTTCACAAGTTCTAATTAATTATTTGCCATCACATTTTTTAAGTCTCCTTTTACAGTTTAAAGAACAGTCATATAATGTCTTAAACACAAAAAAACATCGTAATCATGGTTCTTGGGCATCGATGAATGTATTACATTTTCAGACGATTTTTTACAATTCAAATTTACTGTATGGTTTAAGACATTGTTTATAGTGATAAAGTGAACACTGTAAAAACTAGGTTAGCTGAACACTAGCTTAGTTAAAAAGAAACAGCAGTTGCATTTGTCTTTTTCCATAGAAGTGTGTTAAGTTAATCTGATTTAGTCTTCTTGATGAGTGACCTTAACTTTTAGGTGAAGTTAACAAGAAGTACGTAGGCTAGAATTAGCTTAAAACTATTTAAATGCTTTTAGTTTGACAGTTGTAGAGTAAAAACAGTTTAAAGGCACAGTATCATTTCTATTCAGATCATACAATACAATATAATCCTTAGGCAGTTATACATATGAATTTTTATGCACAGGCAGTTCTCGTCTCCTGTATGTGAATGTACTTTTTCTCACACATCTCATCATCAGATTATTTTAAATGCATGTCAGAGCTCTTGGAAACAGCTGTACTTTCAGCACAGCAGTCATCTTCTGTCAGGACAGGATATATTTCTATTAAGACATTTGGTAATAGATTAGTTCCTCTATAAAGTCTAAACACAGTTGTTTCCTCCAACAGAATTACGGCAAGCGAGTGTTTGCCTGTGTAACTACAGCTTAATGTGTCATCATGATTATTAAAAGCTGAACTGCTACTGGAAGTGAGAATGTGGTAATTTGTTTCAAAATGTGTAGGTCACTGGTTAAAACGAGTACTTAGGTGTTTAAACTAATCAGTTGAAAAGTGCTATTTTTCTTCTCTTTGTTTGAGGTGTTATTGTGAATATAATGCTGTCCTGCTTCTAATGTGTCTCTGTTTTTCTTCATTATGCTGCCATGTCCTATAGATTGAGTTCTAGGTAACCGCTTTTGTTGCAAAAAAGTATTTGTCTAATACTGTTTTAAATATTTGTGCATGCACTTGAAACATATCCTATGAATATATCCCGTAATTGTACTTGAGTGAGTGAGATCATGTTAGCATCTAATAACATGACTCCAAATCTCCCACTTCGTTTCGAAATCCTCATCCTGTTTTCATCTGCCGCCCCTCAGATCTTCCAGGAGGATATGATGCGTTCCCTGCTGCAGAACTCTCTTCATGTGTTCCGTGCTATCAGTGGAACCTCCACTGACCTGAGCTAGAACCTGATGGACAATCAGCTCTCCTCGCACCTGAATGTACAAATCAAGATTCTAGGCCTTCAGCAAGCATCATGTTTTTACTTGTTGTGTACAGCGAGTTTGTGTAAATATTGCTTTTACAGTTCATTTTAATGGCAACATGAAGTCAAAATCGACCCTATTTACTTTCTTAATGCACATTCCTGGTCTTCTCATGTTTGCATTGATGTTCCTTTTAGGCTCACATCACCAAGCCGCCTTGTTTTTCAACTCTTACTCTCTTACCATTATGGAAACCCATTTCCACCACATAAGAAAAAATGTCATGGTTTCGTATATCATAATTATGACATAAAAAGTCAAAATTATAATATCTCATTATGATGAGATAGTCAAAATTGATATAAGTCAAAATTGATATAAAGTCAATTATGACATGAACTTTGAAATTCGGACATAAAAAGTCATTATTATGAGATAAAAGTAAAAAATGGACTGAATTCAGTTATGACGAAACTGACATAAAAAGTTGAAATTATGACAGTTGTAATTATGAAATAAAAAATCTAAATTATGACAGTCCTAATTTATGTGATAAATGTCATAAATTTCACGTTTTTGTCATAATTATGATTTTATCTCATAATTTTAACTTTTTATCTCATAATTATGTCTTGGTATGTTGTAATTTGACTTTTCTTTTTGCATAAATATCATCTTTTCATGTCATTTTTATGATTTACCAAAGATTTTTCTTTATTTGGTGGAAATAGACTTTCGTAGACCATATATCCAGTCACCTCTATATGACCACTTTTCATGATCCAATCAATTATTGACGTATAAATTCAAGTCCAGTATTTTTTTTTTCTTGTATTCTTTAAAAGTAAAATGGGTTACCGATGCTATTACATTTTGACTGTACATTTTCTCTGTTATACAATCCATTTAGCATGTCAGCCAAACTGTCTATTTTAAATTGCAGGGATGCCACTGGAAAAAAAACATGCAGTGTAATTGGATCACCCAATACACCAAAGATCAAATGGACAGTTTATACTACATGCCTACATTTCCATATGAAATGACTTTTACATTGACAATTTTATTTTCTGAAAATGGCAGGTGATCATAAAGCCTAAAACTGAATCATTGTACGGAATGATAAAATTCACAGTTGTAAAAATAGCATTACAATGATCACAACAGAGCGCAACAGTGAACGCCCATATTTTCAGAGGCGTTGATTCTGAAAGTATTTTTGCTATTCATTTTCTCTATAGACAGTATCTTCCGAAAAAATAATAATAATAATTGATGCATTTAGCAGACGCTTTTATCCAAAGCGACTTACAGTGCATATTCAGGCTATACATTTTTTACCAAAGCAGTATTTGCAAGCAGTTGTCATCATTAAAATGTCTGCATTGTCTGGTCTAGTAATAAAGTCAACAATGGCAATGGACTCTGAATTTGCTATTAGGATAGTGCGAGACAAGCTGCCGTTTCCGATGATTAGTTTCAGAATTTCCTTCACGTTTTGTCAGCATATAATGTAGTAATGTTGTTTTCCCCTCTGTGGTTCATAAGATAAAGTGAATATTTCTAACGAAAATATCTTTGGTGATGTTTATTCTGCAGTATTTGCAAGCAGTTGTCATCGTTAAAATGTCTGCATTGTCTGGTCTAGTAATAAAGTCAACAATGGCAATGGACTCTGAATTTGCTATTAGGATAGTGTGAGACAAGCTGCCGTTTCCGATGATTAGTTTCAGAATTTCCTTCACGTTTTGTCAGCATATAATGTATGAATGTTGTTTTCCCCTCTGTGGTTCATAAGATAAAGTGAATATTTCTAACGACTGTTGGAGGCAGGAGTTACATTTGTTGTATTATCTGTACTGATTTGTACTAGAACATTTTTAGGCCTACAAATGTTGTTTATGTCTAAGAAAACAACAGATGTTGATGACAGTAATTAATTATTGTCATGCTGGAAATTATGGTTGTCAATGACTTGTTGATAATTGTTATTAAAGTTAAAGTGTTGAATTACTTTTATGTTGTGGTTTAAACCTCGTTGATGCAAAGTTTCCGGTTTTAGAAATATATAGAATAAATAAATAGTATTGGCTATAGCTACTATATTGGATATCGTATTAAATGTTTGAAATGAATGCCTTTTTCAGTATTTTCATTCTAACAGGAATCTATTAAAGTGCCAATAAATTAAGAAAAAGAAAAAAATACATATAAATATATATATTATACATATAAAGTAAATATAGGCTACTGTGACTATAAGGTATATAATAGGCCTTAAACATTTTACGGGTTCATCGAGGTAAAATGCCTATAGAAACAAATCTCTTTCTGTGTCAGCTGGTTATGTTAAAGCAATGTTTATACATGTTTCGTAGAATGATAGGCCTATTTGTCTATTGTGTATTTTTGTGTATTGTATGTAGGCCTATATAGCCTATAAATTGTTTGTATATCTTTATTAATTTATCTTTAGGAATTTGCCGTATTTATTTATTTTACAGGTGTTTTACCTATTTGTATTTTACACTTTTTTTGCGTTTGAGGGGTGTGTTCGTAAAATGAATGGATTAATTAATGTCCCGGTAATGAGCTTCCAGTATTTTTTCTGTTAGACCAGTGGTCGCCAACCCGTCGATCGCGAAAATAACAGTAAAATAAGTACAAAAATGCATTACATTTCTGGGGTTATATTAATGTATCACTGAAGGGAACTGTCTTGAGAAAAGTTTCGATGGCAATGGCATTTTCTTCTCCGTATAAAGCGCAGCTCTGCTTTGTTTACAGCGGTAACCAAGGAAACGCTATAGCGCCGTCGGTTCATAAGCAGTGTTGCCAAGTCCGCAGGAAAGGCTACTTTAACACTGTTGCCGCGGGTTGTTGTTCATGTCCGCGGGTTGAAGCGACCCAAATAACGTGATATTTAGCCCCTGGAATGTGAATTTTACTGGAAGATCCCCGCCGAAAAACGTGTATTTTACCCCCGGAATGCGATTTTTACAGGGGAACCCCCCTCCCGAGGTCAGGGATCTTGGGCCTAAAAAGGTTGGTGACCACTGTGTTAGACTGTTTTCTTACAGTGATTCTTCTGTCATTTTCTACTAATTGGGACGAAATCCGTAATTTAACTCGAAATTTGGGCACTCGACATTCAGCAGATTTACAAATCTGTAGAAATGAGGCAATGCCATAACTAGTCCCCTTTAACCCACAGAGAGCATGTGAATGTGAGTTCACACACTCCACCCACTGCAGTCTGACAGAGAGTCCAACAGGCTCCAGTCGCACTTTTGCTTTGAGCGCGAGGCTGACAGACGCCTCGATTGTCCATTTAACTGTTGATGTATTATGTCGAGCACGACTACGACCACTTAAAAAGAAAAGGAAAAAATATCGCGTTTTGAGAATATCAACAAAGGATTAAGGGACTTCACTTTGGATTTTACACGGAATATCCGATAAAACCTTCAAGAGGATGTTTCGAGTTTGGGATATCTCCCTAATGATATGCTTCTCTGTCTCACTCACGTTCGTCGGGGTTGAAGGCATATCAGGTGGGTTTACTGTTTTTATGTTGCCTGTTTTTTTAGGAACGTGCTTCCCTGAAGTTTTCCTACGACAGCGCGTGCGGGATATCCTGTATAATTCCCGAAAGCTGTGATGTCAGAGACTTTCTCCTGAAGACCCACCAGTGTGTTGCGATTAAACCTGCTTCTTGTCTCAACTTGCTCCCTGTAGTAGGCTAGTTTCTTACTACTACAAACAAACAACAGAATGTTACTACCGCTGCTACTGTTACTTTCTTCTTGAACGTTGTTTTTGTTTTATATTTCTTCATAACAGTGTTCCACTCCTCTTGTACCCCACAGAGCTCCCTCCACCAAGGAACCTGATTTTCAAATGGGAAACACCTTTCACTCTTAATTTGACATGGGAAAAGCCAAAGGATCTTGACCCTGATTGCAAAGTCAACTACACGGTGGACGTGCGCCATTCTCAGGTGAGTCACCTCAACATTTGAATGAACCGCATTTGAATTGTAGTGCATTCAACTACAGTAGAAGGTCTGTGAACTCATAAAAATGTTTTATATTTCTACATGTGTTTTTATCGATGCTGTGATCGGATCCTATCGAGGACTTTGAGATTTGTAATTTTTTTTAAATATGATATAATAAAATAAATATGTGAACCTTTGGGATCAGTTTTATGATCAATTTAAGGGCTAAGTTTGAGGGAGTTCCTGCTCTGTTGACAGAACATAAACCTGGGTCTTCTCAATCAAAGTCTGTTTCTCGCTACATTTTGTGGGTTTAAGATCCAACAGTCTACTGTATAGCTGGACTATCCAAAAAACAATCCCTCAAAGATTAATATGTTTGATCGTCTGGAGGATATGCTGTACAGTAAGTCTACTATTTTAAATAGTTAAATCAGAAATGAATTTGAACTTCCAAAGTCAAATTCCCAAACTTCAATCCCAAAAACGTACTGAGGAGAGCAATCCCAGCAAAACAAGACCACCGATGTAGCTGAGTTTAAGCAATGTTTAAGGAGGATTGGGCCAAAATTCCTCCAAGCTAATTTGCAGAAATGATCTACACTTACTGGAAATGTTCGGTTGTTGTTATTGCTGCTCATCTGATGTGTCACTCCGGATACTGAAGGTGAAAGTTCACGTTTTTTAATCTTTTTTTATTTATTGATTGATTTTCCCAGCAAATATTTCAAGGGTTCAAAACTTTCTAATGCAGATGCATTTTCCTAACTTCAAAATAGCTTGGGACAGAACCCAAGAGGACAAGAGGAGACAAGTCTCCAAGGACTAGGTTATCATGTTCAGTTAGGATTTATGCAAGCAGCTGTGACCTGGTCTTTAGTGACATTTTTGCCTTCTCGATTCAAATAGCCCTGTAGTTTTACAGATAAGCATTTAAAAAGTACTAATATTCCATGTGGACTCTAAATTAATGTTATGTTAATAAAACCAAATGCATACTTAGAATAAAATAAATGCTGTTTAAAATATTTTACTCTATGTATGCTGTCATATAATGGTGAATAACAGTAACAATAAAAAAAATTAAATGGTTTTGTTGTCCCATATTTTTAACTCAGTTTTATGAAAATATGAGTCAAACCAGACCATAGTATAAGTGACCCTGGCACACTTTTTGTAGTACAGGGAGCATCGTTTTTCTCTGTAATCATGCAGTTAACCAGGTCTGAGAAGCCCTGAACAAACACTGAACTGGAGTTTATAGTGTGTTTTCGTCCATCTGAAGTCAACGAAACAAAACTAGGTCAGTTGTACATTTTCGTTTACTGATACTTTATTGCCGCAGCTCTTACCCACATAAGCCAAAGTCAAAGTCTACCTTGGATTTGTTGTTTTCTCATCACATGTGT